CACCCCCTCCCGCCCGGCTCTGGAAGGGGGAAAGGGGTTAAAACTTACCTTTTTCCAGCGCTGGGCGGGGAGCTCTCCTCCTCCTCTCCTCCTCTGATCCGCCCCGTCGGCTGAATGCGCATGCGCTGCAAGAGCCGCGCCACGATTCAGCGTCGCATAGGAAAGCATTCATAATGCTTTCCTATATTATGCTCTCACCGTGATTTTCACAGTGAGAAGCACGCTTCTGGCGGCTGTCAATGACACAGCCACTAGAGGCTTTGGGGAAGGTTTAACCCATTGAAACTGCTATGTTTATAAAACAATGGGTTAACCCTAGAAGGACCTGGCACCCAGACCACTTCATTAAGCTGAAGTGGTCTGGGTGCCTAGAGTGGTCCTTTAATGTTGACTTATTTTATTCGTTTTTTTAAAAATACCTAATCTAGGCAAAAATAATGGGGGTTTAGTTACTCCATCTTTGGCAGGTCCTACTCTAACAGTCTAATGTCTGCTCTTATGACATTTGGGGCTCTCTGCAGTACAAGGCTAAATAGGGCCCTGGAATTAAGCACAAGTGACAGGGAGGGTTGCAAAACCAAGGAGTTGGCTAGACTCCCAAATTTGGGAATCTAGCCAACTCCTTGGTTTTGCACCCCTTCCCGTCACATGTGCCTCATTCCAGGGCCCTATTTAGTCTTGTACTATATATATATATATATATATATATATATATATGAGTCTAGCCAACTCCTTGGTATAAAACCAGGGGCTACATATATATATAAAACCAGGGGGCTATACTCACCTGAACATGCATACATGGGGTGCTGGAGGCCAAATTATACAATACACAAGATCCAGCACACTCACTTATCCACTAAACAGCAACTTCAATGCTGACAGATTTTATTCGTTTTTTTAAAAACACCTAATTTAGGCAAAAAAAATTATATATATATATATATTAAGCAGTAAAAAAACATAATTTGTTATACATTTATCATATATATATAAAGCAGTAAAAAAACATAATTTTTTTACATTTATCATTAAAAATAATTGAAAAATGAAAAGCTTTTGACAGTATACAGTGTCATTTATCTTACAATATTTTAAACAGGGTCTGACATGTTCGTTTAAAAGTAAATGCATTTTTTTCTCACACACAATAAGTGTGACAAAATAAATAAATAAAATGGTGAAATGACTTGCTTTGAGGTATTTACAAGGACTCACAGTGCAGCATTTTGAAAATCTCAAAAGAATGTCTTCATTTATGCACAATGCCCACATACAGTAAATACAGTTAAATCATATATTTTTACAATCAATTATTTAAAAATGCTATAGAAATCTTTATCAATCTCTGGAATGGTAATGCTAACAGTGAACTCCTCTCCCCATCCTGACTGTAGAAATAATATGATCCAGTGAAATGTCCTGTACTGTTTGAAAGCAGGGAGTAAGCTTACTTGCAAGCAAACTTACATGCATTACATCAAATACTAGTTTCCAGCAGATAAAAGTGTAAATCTACAGTCTTAACCATAACTAGAGCACAAATAAGTGTGAATGATGCTTTATGGACTAAATCTTATACTGCAAAATACATGAAAATGGAAATGTTTATACTGAATTTTAGTAGTAATGGGGATTAGAGATTTATCAGATAGGAAAATGTGCATATTAATCAAAGATCACTCTATATAACCTTGCAATTAATTCTAAGGAGGTAATGTTGTGCAGCAACATACCTCCTAACTCCAGCATCCTGAGAAGCGGGATACCAAAAAGCAGGACTGTTTGAAGGCCTGAGCAATAATGGCTAATGTCATTGCAATCTGACTATGCTGCAGAGCAAAGTAGTATCTTTTAGGTATACCTCCCGCCATGGACCCAGGTTTGCAGAGTAAGGGTTCCTCTTGCTTGGATGGGAAGTTTACAAGGGGACCTCATTGTTTCAGGTTGTTTGATTTATATGGACAAAATGGAGCTGAGCATATGTTTGTTGTGGTGGAACTGAAGGTTGTTTTCAGCAAGAAAAACAAGGAATTAAGTGAAGAAGACTTGATGGGGAACTGTATGTAACCATTGTGGGTGGAGACACCTAGACAGACTGAATGGTAGGAGAGAAACTGGCTGCCTTATGATGCATTTAAGACTTTCAATGATGTGGAGGGAGAGATCAATGGATATCTACAGAATTTTGAAACGCAATGTGGGTTACAACAGTAGACAAAGGAGGATTGGGTCACCATCCTATCAAATAAGCTGTCAGGTTGGGCAATGTTTGCCCGAAAAGACAACCAAGTGTCTGGTTGCAGTGGTCATGTTATTTTAACCCTGCAAGGTAAATCATTTTACATTGTAGGGTTAAAATGACAAGACCACTGCAACCAGACTACTTCATTGAGATTAAATGATCTGAGTGACTTTAGGGACTCTTTAAGTAACATGTTAAGACATTCTGCAGATGTATCTACTATAGCAACAGATTAGATAACGTCAGATTTCATATGCAACAATAACTTCCAAAGAGAGTATCTAATACAAGGCTAAGATTGATTTTCTGTGTTCTGGCAGAATAAATGAAAGCTAGAATAAAATAAATGTGTACCTTACATATTTCTGAATAAAGTCATTATAATGGTAAACCTTCCTGAGGTAGAAAATATTAAAAAATGTGTTAAAGCCATTAGGAATAATATCTCTCAGAACAATTTAATATCTCTCTGTCTGCAGCAAAGGTGACACGAATTTATGGGAGTTTAACAAAGTAAAATGTCTATGCCAGCCTGGGTGACCAATTACCTAGAAATGACACAGCTGGCTGAGAGACTACAGAACATTCAGTTACGATGAATGTGTAACACAAAGCTTCTGTAATTTACAAACTACATATCAAGGCTAACACAATAAAAAGTACAGTACAATACACAACATTTTATTTGTTAAAATAGCAGCAAATGCTGCAAAAAGATTGTTGTAAATAAGTCTTTGTGTTTCAGGACTGAAAATGTGGTTCGGCAAAAGCTTGCACCCTTGTTATTAATATTATTGAACTTTAATAAGATAACATAATAAGGCAGTGTTATTAAAAAAATAATTTAATAGATACAAGAAAATGGAACAAATGTAATACAATTATTAATGCAGGGTGAATATAAATCTTCAAATGGGGGCTTTGTACTAAACAGATTTGTTGACTTGTTACATAAATAACTGGCCCATTTATATAGTATATATATATATATATATAAAATGAAACAAATGTCATGTCGATATAGGGAAGGGGATTATACTGCCTGAGTTGACAAATGCAGAACTTTAAATCATGATTGTATTACTTCTATCTGTATTTGCTGCGGAGCATGGGAATAAAGGTGACTATACACTTGCCGTACATGTTAGTAGGTATCTGTGCATGATGGATCCAGGTCAGAACTGCACTATATCGCAAGTGGTTCTTTTTACCTCAATAGTCAAGTTTATCATGTAAGCTACTTAATAACGCACATTGATAGTCCATACAATTTAATCAAGCTGCTTTTTTCAGGTTGGCTTATGTTAATATATTTTTCTTGACTATTATAATGTAATACTATGAGCCTGGGCTTTCTTTTTACAACCGTTTTATCCATTCTAAAAAACTGTTGCTTAATATAATTGAGGACTTTATTACTGTATGGCAGTCAGTGGCATACACACAACCCATGGGGCCCCATTGCGAAAAACTGATCCGTGGCCCCCCCCCCGCACGCTTACTCTGCTCGGGCTGGGGCCGCAACACATGGCGGTGGGCACCTGGTCGCAGGGGTCGCAGAGCTGTGACCCCTGCGACCGCGGTATGTACGCCAGTGCATGCAGATACACATACACTTAAAGGACCACTACAGACACCCAGATCACATCAGCTCAATGAAGTGGTCTGGGTGCCAGGTCCCTCTAGTTTTAACCCTGCAGCTGAAAACATAGCAGTTTCAGAGAAACTGCTCTGTTTCACTGAGGGTTAATCCAGCCTCACTGAGGGTTAATCCAGCCTCTAGTTGCTGTCTCATTGACAGCCACTAGAGGAGTTTCTGCGATTCTCACTGAGAAAATCACAGTGAGAAGACGCTGAACGTCCATAGGAAAGCATTGAGTAATTCTTTCCTATGGGCGGTTTGAATGCGCGCGCGGCTCTTGCCACGCATGCGCATTCGGAGCTGAGATGCGGATTGGGGTGGAGAGATCCTCAGTGCCAAGGGAGTCCGGCGCTGGAGAAAGGTAAGTGCTTAAGACACACACACTCTCATGAACAGACGCATACACACTATCTAACAGACACACACATTTACTGACAGACATACATACACACTCACTGACAGACAGACACAAACTCACTCACTTCCAAAACACACACTCACTAACAGATGCACACAAACTAACACACTCAGTAACACACACAGACACAGTAACATACTCACTGACACACTCTAACACTAACACACACACACTAACACACACACACTAACACACACACACTAACACACACACATGCACATACACTAACACACACACACTCTAACACACACACTCTCTAACGCTAACACATACACTAACACACACACACTCTAACACACACACTCTCTAGCGCTAACACATACACTTACACACACACTAACACACACTCTAACACTAACACACCCCAACACACACACACTCTAACACTAACACACACACTCTAACACTAACACACACACTCTAACACTAACACACTCTAACACTAACACACTCTAACACTCACACACTCTAACACTCACACACTCTAACACACTCACACACTCACACACTCACACACTCACACACTCACACACTCACACACACACACACACACGTTTAAAAAAAAAAAAATTAATCCCCCCCAGCCTCCCTACCTTTGGGAGAGCTGAGGGGATTTCCTGGGGTCCAGTGGTTTTGCTGTGATGTCCCCCAGCAGACAGGCGCATGAGGGAGCACTCTCCCCTGAGTGCTTCCTGTTCCGTTCCCTCGCGCGCCACGTTCTGATACCGGAGCCGGAAGATGACGTCATCTTCCGGCTCCGGTATCAATGCAGTGCGCGAGGGAGCTGAAGAGGAAGCACACAGGGGAAAGTGCTCCATCACGGGCCCGCCAGCCTGCCCGCCGGGTGACACCAGGGCCAGCCGCCACCCCTGCGACCCCGGTATGTACGCCACTGATGGTAGTTTTTGGAAGGCTAGCACACAGGGATACATAGCATTCAGTGGCAAATGGAGGCTTCAACATGCAACCAAATGTAACAATATGTAAAATAGATCAATAGAAAACACGATTTACAAAAAAACAAAAGGCTATATTTACTATAGATATAGAATTACATAATTTCAATAGAGCTGTGAGTTCCCAGAGCCTCAGCTCTTGGAGACTTAATAAACAGCCATTCCTGGAAATCATCAAATAGTCTTACAATGTACTGTCTTTACTGGGAGGGTGTAATTGTGTTGTAAATAGACAGATTTCTCTTCTTAAACAATATATATGGTCACATGAACTGGATAATCAGCTTTACTAACATTTCTTGAGATCTTATTGTAACTGCAATAGCAGTCATATCCATAGATATTAAGTGGCACAGGGCCAGTGCAAGAATTTCTGATGCCCTAGGCAAAGATCCATTTTGCTGCCCCCTCATGCAAGCAAATACAATCTCACAGAGGTTTATTCTCTAAACTCTGAATTGCAGTGAGTTGAGAACCAAATTGCAAAGTTTAAGCAAAAATATCTAAACTGTGACTGTAGCCGAATTGGAGAAGACTTCTAGATCAGCTCTTTTGGCCAAAATTTTTCCATATGGTTTGCAGTTAGGTCTGCCTAATACACACATACTGCTTAATGCGTACATCCATAAACACACACTGCCTAATGATAAACAAATAAAAGTTATAGATGCTCGCTATATATTTAAGAGATGGATAGGGGCTGCAGATTATCACACAAGATTTCCCCAATCTTGTGACAACACAAATGAAACAAAAAAGGAGATAATCCACACCTATGGTTTAGTAGAACCACATACAAATAAAAGTATATACATACATAAATATAACAGGATCTTGTTGGTAGACGGGTCTCTCAAAAAGACAAAAAAAGAGATAACAAACAATATAAGTGCAATATGCTTTTAAATATTGTGGGATAATATATTGTGACCAAGGCACACTCACACTTTCAAGAGCTATATAGAGCTCTGCTGATAAAAGCGTGGATGGTATAATCCTCGTCTATGGATATGCAGCAGTAGTGATGGTATATGCGGCAGTGGTGATGGTACTTTCTTGGTAAAGTGCAGTTAAAAGAACTTAACTAAAGAAATTAAACTAAGATGGGAGATAGCTACTCTCACTAAATACATTGATGATAAAATAACACCAAGAGGCCTCAGACTATTCAAAATGCCAACATCAGATAGTGATAACACTGATTTTATGGGTGAATGGTATGATCACTTGGAAAATTGTACTTTTGCTTTAATGAAGAGCCTTGTTAAAGCAAAAACTGAAAAATTAACCACCCTGGGTAGGAAAATTAACTAATTAAAAGAACAACTTATCCCATATGGAGATACAAAATAATTTTTTGGATTTAATTTCAAATACAAAGAAAACAGTTGAAAAAAATGAAATTGAAACCAAAAAGATAATCAATAAATACAACAGAGACAATATGATTACGCCCACAACCAGGTATGATCCTACAATACCAACAAAATACACAACAGAAAACATTTTAAAAATTGTATAAATGATCAAATTACTAATACATACAATCACAAAAACACCTATGATGCAAATACACCTCCACACACGTTTTCAAGTCAAAATTTTTAATATAGAAAAGATTGTTTCACAAGAGTGGAATGTCCTGCATGATACTCAAACCAAAACACTATTCACCAAAGAGACACTCACCACGTAGACACTATTCACCAAAAAACAAGTACACATCAAGTATCCAAATTACTTGGATAATAGGAAATCTTCCTATGAGAGACAAAGAAAGGATGTATTCACGAACGACAAAACACATTTCACTACACACAAAACAATTAGATCAAGCAGATCACATAACAAGGAAAACCCAAGAATAACAGAAAAAGTCAGTTGTCATGCAAAAGAAGTCGATTCACCTCTTATAGTAAGACCAAAAACTTATAGGCATACTCACAACCAAGTCTCTCCAAAACTAAGAGAAAATACTGATAAATATGCATGGGAGAAAAGAAAGGAGAGAGCACACAGTAGAACACACAGCAGACTAGACAAAGAGAAACCCAGTACATCAGCTGATCCAATCAGAAACAATAGATATCACGTGCTGTCTTTTTCAGAATAATTCGACAAGACCTCTTTTTTAGAGATCCCGTCAAACAGAGAGAGACAATTGCATCATCTATCCCTCACTCCAATAAAGAGCAAAAAAATAATTTTAGAGGTAGAGGATCAGGAAGAAGAAATCAAAAAGGGAAGAATAGAGATGTTTTAGTTAATACTGAAATTATCCACCAAGAAAATACAATAATTTTTAATTTATTAAAAATAATTTTAAATAATACAGAATTGAGTGTTTTAGGAAAAGGGCTAAAATTTGCCCCTGCTAAAACTCTTAATTGTTTTTTAGCATATATTGACATAATAAGTTTTTGAGAAATGACACCTTAAAACACTACTTTATTAGCAAAAAATTATGAAAATATGAAAGAAATCAATCATAATACTGAAGAGTACTATACATACATTATTGCCTTATTACTTGTGACGTACAATCACTTTACACCATCATTCCACAGGATAAGGGCTGTAATGCTGTAAACAGTATTTAAGAGAGACATAATGATACACCAAATACAAATAGATTTTATTACAGAGGCCATAGAACAACAATTATTTTTAGTTTGGAGAATCTTTTTATCTACAGAATACTAGCATTGTGATGGGCACCAGGTTTGCCCAGCTATGCCTATCTCTTCATGGCAGAATGGGAGGAGATGTCTCTCTGGAGTGGGCATGGCTGGGTGGATAGCCTGGTGTCTTGTTTTAGATATATCGACGATCTCCTTTTTATATGGAACGGCTCGGTTTCAGAAGAACAGGATTTTATAAGCTCACTTTATAATAATAATAATGGCATTATTCCCTCAGCTAATTTTAGTAACAGTGAAATTACTTTTTTAGATTTAGATATATACATAAAAGACAATAATATCCAGAATAAGATCCATTTAAAAAAAGTTCATTCAAATAACTTTATAGACATTAAAAAACGTTGCCACAATAAACCATGGCTTGAGAGTATTCCTAAAAGACAAATTTTAAGGTTAAGGAGAAATTGTTCGGAACTATCCACCTCTCAAAAACAAGCACTTAATATGAAAGAAAAGTTTATACAAAAAGGGTATAATTAGGATACCCTTGACTCGATCATAAAAGAAACTAATAAGAGAAAGAAAAAATATTTTTAAACAAAAATAATTTAAACAACAAAGATGGGAATGCTTTTAATCTACCAATAGTGCTGGACTATAATAATAAAAATATATATTAAACGAATCCTCAAAAAAATTGGCAAATTTTAAAAGAAAGACATTATTTTAAGTAGAATTATTCTAGAAAACCCTAAAGTTATTTTTAGAGGAGCACCAAATGTAAAAATTAAATTAACAAAAAAGTATACAAATAACAAATGTACAACTCAAAAAAAAAAATCAATGACAATAAAGGCTTTTATAGATGCAACTGTTGTGTAGTTTTCAAAAAAAAAACCCACAGAAAATAGAGAAATACACTTCAGGTTTTAAAAAATATTATAACGTGCAATACTAAAAATACAATATACTTATTAGAATGCCTGTGCGGTCTCCAATATATCGGTAGAAGAACTAGACCACCTAAAATTAGAATAGGAGAACACTGCCGCAATATACCGAAAGGCTATAAGACTCATTTAGTGTCTTCACATTTTGATATACACCATAATAATGATCCTGATCAACTTACTTTTATAGGAATAGCTACTTTAAAAAACCATTGGAGAGGTGAGGATCTAATAAAAATGCTAGGAAAAAAAGAAATGGAAACACTTTGCACCCACATGGTCTCAATGCAGACTTGGATCTATGTAATTTCCTATAGCTTTTTATGCATTAACTCCCCCTTAATAGTATCAGGACTCTGACGCATGCGCATAGTTCATGTGTTACGCATGCGTACTAAGTATGGATCTACCCCTTCCCGACATGCTCGATGACCCGATGTCACCGCACAAGTGCCCTTTGAATGTTTCATTATGGAACCAAGACAGCTGTTATGAATAATCCTCCTAACAATCTGATGGGCAGACACAAACATTGGATTTACATATGGTCGGCTGGAGGAACCTACCACGGACCTGATACAACACCTTACAACCCCTGATGGATATTTGAATACCGGAAGTATTCTAGCAAACCAATTGGAACATTCTGTTACCATTTGTTAAACATTAACATCATTAAGTCTTTATTTATAAAACTTCACTTTTAAAGTTAAGTCACACTTTTGATGAAACCCCAAGGTGAAACGCGTTAAGTGTGCTTTTAAGGAGGCAGGCGGCTGTATTGTGGGCAACGAGGGAGGCTGTTCTTAAAGGTTCCCACTCCTCTCAGCGCCCCCACCTTCAAGCACCTGGAGGATCAACGCGGCGCTTGGGAGGTGGCTTAACTGCCACTCAACTGCCGCAAGACAGGGGGAGCCCACCAGGAAATATCCCGGTGGGCGCCCCCAGCAGGCCGGCACCCTGGGCGAATGCCTAGTTTGCCTAACGGTGGCACTCGCCCTGAGTTGCCCCACTTAAAGTTAATAGATATAAGTAGATATTTAGTTGCCCCGTAGATATTAAGGGGCACCACATGAGATGTCTGACATTGTTTTCTGCATCATATTAACAGTTGTAACACTGGATATGAAAAGACCCACTGTGAAAGGTCTAAATTTATTTTTGTTGAAGGGACACTGAAAGCAAAAAAACTACAGCTGTCTTCATGCCTAGATGCTGTCCCTGCAAACTGACAAATGTAAGCAGTA